GCCTGGCTTGTGTTTCCACAACCCCATAGGCCACCCCTTCTCAACCCGGGCAGCTTGCGGATGGGGGGCCTCCAACCCCAAGATTTCCCCGGCCAGGCGGCGGGCGGGGGAATTCTGGGAGTTGGAGTCCACACATCCAAAAACTGCCAGGGTTGAGAAACGCTGCTCTAAGGTAAGCTTCGTGCTCTCTGCACGTGAACCCTCTGAAACTGCTGCTGGTGGTGGTGAATCCAGCCACTTTGCCTGTCCCCTCCCTGCAAAGCACCCATGTCACACCAACCTTGTAAGGCAGGACATGTGGTTAGACGTTGGCTGGCTCAGCCTTCCCCAGCGGGCAACCTCCAAGCGAGTCCCCTGCCAGCTTGGCGCTCCAGATCCCTTCCCTTCAACGTGGCCATCTAGCAGGATCTTTTCCATGGCAGTCCTCCCCCAGGATCCGGCAGGCCCCCACCCTTTTAGCCTTCCAGAAGGCCTTGAAAAGCTGGCATCGGGCTCGGGTGGGGCTGGCGACGACCGTCATGACGGTTGTGCTGGGGCGTGTTGTTCAGGGGGCCGGGACTTGCGGCCTGTTTATTTTTGGGTGCTGGTTTTGTCATCTTCCTTTGAGTCTTATTGTTTTGTGAGCCCCCCAGAGTTGTGGCGCCCAAGAGGGGCAGCCCTCCGGGTCCTTTAAACGAATCGAGGACGGTCCTGGGAAGCCCCTCCTCCCTCCCCCGGATGGGGACGAGCACAGCTCTCAGCCCATCTCCCGTGCGATGGGGGCGAAGGGGCCCTCTTCCTCGGCCCCAGGGGCCCAGGCCTCTTTGTGCGAAGGGAACCGGAAGAGGCTTCTTCCACGTTCACTTGAAGACCCTGGAAATGCTTGCTCTTGGCCAGGTATTGGCCGGGGAGGGCAAGGCGGGCATGGGTTCAGCAACCGCTGCCTCTGAGGAGGTGGAGGTGGGCACAGGTCAGGGCTAGGGCTGCGGCTGCGGCTGCGGCTGGGGCAGAGCAAGCTGTCTTTGCGAAAGTGCTCTTTGGAGGAACCTACAGTTGCATTAACCAGACGTCAGCAGGAGACGGCACCTTCGTTATTTGTCACCCTCCAGCCGAGAAAGAAGGAGGCTCGTCCCACCTGCTTGCGCCCCGAGTCCTGAATCTCCCAAGAACCCAAGAAGCCAGCGAGAGGGTGGCTCCAGAAAGTCCTAGCTCCAAGCCGCCCCCAGCCCCGGGCTGCCTCCCGCGGGGACGCCTTGGCCCACCGCTTCCAGGGCCTCCCTCGCCCGATTAGCTGAATGGGGGCTGCGATCTGGCGCACTGGCTCGCGTCTCGGGGGACGCGGTGATGAGGGGGTTGCTTTCTCTCTGGCCACTGCAGACCTCTGCAGGCTCCCGGTGGATCCCGGCCCCTGCGACGCCCACGTCCCCATGTACTACTACAACCCCAACAACCAATCCTGCGTGCCCTTCATGTACGGGGGCTGTGGGGGCAACGCCAACCGGTTCCCTGCTCTGGGCCAGTGCAAAGCACAGTGCTGGCATCCAGGTAGAAGAGGCGGCTGCAGTTCGTAAGGGCCCCGGTCAGAGGAGAGGAGCTGTGGGCATGGAGTTCACACAAGGGGGCAGCTTGGCAGACCCAGAGGGCCTGCTCCCCCACCCCCGCTCCAAATCCCTTCTTGGAAGCTGTTACGGAGGCTTCCTCCCCGAACATCCCCCGCTGAGCTGAGGCTTCTGTGCCCACTGGGTGACGGGCCGCTCCCTGCTGTGTGGTCAGATACCCGCGTACTGCCCCCCGAGACAGGACCCTGCAACCATTACACCCGCATGTACCACTACTCCCCAGTGGAGAAGACATGCCTGCCCTTCCCTTACGGGGGCTGCCACGGCAATGCCAACCGGTTCCCTACCGTCGAAGAATGCCTGCAGACCTGTGGCCGGAAAGGCAGGCTAGCCAGGAATTGCTCCTGAGCCTTGGACCTCCTTCTGCCCATCAGAGGGCATTTATTTCAACGGCCTGCTCTCTGATGGACCATTTGCAGGAAAAGGCAGCATAGAATCGCTTGACATGATCTTGATACAGCAGGGGGTGGAAATCCGCCAGTGGTCACAATGCCCATTGCTGTCCTCCATGCCACTGGGTGGGCACAACTCACCCTTGTTCCTCCTGAAGAGAGACGTGCCCCGGTGGACCCTTCCTTGCTCCTGCTCCCCATGCTGGAGATGCCAGCTGCCATATTTGGGTGCCACATGACTAAAGTCTTCTGCAAGAGGTCTAGGAGTGGTGGCTCCCGGCCACACGGAGTGTCCCCCCTGCAGCTATCTGTGGGATGTAGGCCGGACTGGCTTTCGCTGACAGGCGACTAGCTGGGATCCCGTCTGCTCTGTGCCCACAGATGTTTGCCAGCTGCTTGTCGATCCGGGCCCCTGTTCAGCGCACCATCCCAGATTCTATTACAACCCACAGAACAAGACGTGTGAGAAATTCACCTACGGCGGCTGCGGAGGGAATGGCAACCGGTTTGAAACACAGATGGAGTGTATTTGGAAATGCCGGAATCCAGGTAAAAGCAAGAACAGGCTGGCGGGAGGCGACCCACTGAGACTGGGGAGCTGAGAGGTTTGAGACAAGGAGCCAGGGCTCAGCCTCCCGGGAGTCCCGGAAAAAGGACAGACCAGCTTTGAGAGACCTGGAATTCTTACCGCGACTGCCCCCTTTCAGCTCTTGGACCCGGGCGGTGATGCTCTGCATGGATTCTGCCAGGGCCCTGACCTGTGTTCTCTGGGCTCTGGGCTCTCTTAACGGGCTCCCCTAAGGGCACTAATAACGGCCTGCAGTAATTCTTATTAAAAACCTTGGTTTTTCGCTGCTGCCTAATTGTAGAGGGCCACTCGCTGTGGCTCTGTTCTCTGCCCATTTGGGGGGAGCTCTGTCACCGTCTGGGTTCACAGGGGGCAAGACCCATGCAAGGCTTTCCTTGGAGAAGCTCTTAGAAACAGGCTTGGACTTGGCTTCCCACCCCCAAAACACCTGTCAGGATTTCACATTCGGCTGTTCCAGCAACTTGATCAAAACAAGCTTCCCAATAAATCAGGCCGATGATCCATAAGCCAACTCTCAGGACAGCACACTGGTTATCCCAGTGGGGTTCTGGTACCGGCCCCGTTTGGATCCAAAAGGTGCAGTTAAAAGCCATGGAACCACCTGCCGGAGTCCTTGACCCGACTCCCCAGCTGAGCAGAGATCCGGGTCTTAAGGGGGGAGGGAGCCGCAGGCGGGGCGGAGGAAGGGATCTCTGGGGAGAGCCTCAGCCCGGCCGGCCTCGCTTTCTCTGGGTTCCTCTGGGGCGTTTTCGGACGTCTGCAAGTTGCCCAAGCAGCTGGGCCCCTGCAAAGCGGCCACGCTCAGATATCACTACAAGCCAGCCACCAAAGCCTGCGAGGTGTTTACCTACGGCGGCTGCCAAGGGAACGAGAACCGATTTGAAACCCTGCTGGAGTGCGAGCACGCCTGCAAAAAACCAGGTATGGCCAACGGGGACGGCCTCTTCACCCGGCCACGTTCTCTCGGTCCGTTCTCCCTTAACGGCTCTGCGACTAAGCCCAACCTGCCACGCGGGGCAGCAGAGGCCTTCCGTGGCATCCGTCCACCGAGTGAGTGGAAGACTCCCTTTCTGGATTGAGTTTGCCCAATTTTACAATTGCAGATTCTTTGTATTTACCACTTACGCTTGCACGATGGTTTCTAGCCTTATTAACGAAGGCCCTCTGAGGCATTAAAGGCCAGAAATAAACGCCGGTTGTTTCCTTCCAAGGCGCTGGGCAGATCCAGCCCTGCCCCTCTCCCGGGGGCTGAGCCGCAGGAACACCTGCTCCAGCCTTTACAGAGGAGACCCTCCAGCCACACCTGCGGGGCGTGAGCGAAGCAGTCAAGGTGGCGGTCACAATCAAAGCTCCGCCTGCTTTTTACGAGTGTCGCACCTAAAAGCCAGGCGGAGCTTCCACGCGCCATCACAGCTATCCTCTGGACGTTTTTTTACCAGACTCCTGAGCCTTCCTCTCCCTGGCTTGGGGATCCCTGCCCCCCAAAAGTATTATTCCACTTGTTGTGGCTTCTACTGTCTTGATGCTCTCCCTGATCCGTAAAGCACGCTGAGGTGACCAGTTCCCAGAAGAGGCCGGTGCCCCCCGCCTGTCTCCAACCCCCGCCCTTTCCCGTGTCTCCAGATATCTGCAGGCTTCCCAAGAACCCTGGGGAAGGGGACCGTTCCATGCCCATGTACCGCTACGACCCCTTCCGGAAGGCCTGCGAGATCTTCGCCTACAAAGGGCAGAAGGGGAACCCGAACAGGTTTGCCACGCTGGTCATGTCAGGAGACCTGCAGAGACCCAGGTCAGGACTGCTGCTCTCCGGGCCACCCAGAGGGGCCAGCCCAGCCCTCGGGGGGGCGGCCAGGAGGGGGCGGCGCAGGGCAGATGCCAGGTCAGGCAACCACGCCCAGCCTTCTCCAGGGATGCAGCGATTCTGCAGCAGCCGCCTGCCCAAGAGCCCTGGTCCTCCCAGGGAGCCATCCCAGCCTCCTCTCGGGGAAGGGTCAGGAGCATCACCTGCACAGAGGAACGGCCAGTCCTTTCAGGGCAGCGATGCCTCATAAACCAGCCAATTGGAGAACTGCCTCAGTTTCCCCAGGACAGCCTCGGGGTCCCCACAGGCCCCCAGCACAGCAACACACAGCTCCAAAAGGCCAAACTGCCCTCCGCTGGCAGCCATCTCCTCCCTCGTCTTGGCCGATGAGCCACCGAGATCGGTCTACGGGAGGGTGATAATTCTCCTCACTGGGCCACCCACAAAGACCCCCTCAAGGTTTATTCGGGGGAGCTCTTCTGCTGCGTGAGATCTGGGCACCATTTGCCAGCCTCCCTCCCTCCTTGCAAGGGATCCAGAGGCCCCTGCCGGCCACACGCCAGTTCAGCATGTGCCCGCTCTCAGGGCTGCAGTCAGGCTGGCCCTGAGGCCCGAACCCCGGGACCAAACTGGAACAGAGCCAGAAATTCACTCCAGCTGGACCTTTGCGAAGGCACTTTCCCATTCAGGTTCGAGAGATGGTCCTGTCAGGAAGGGCAGCTGAGAAGGACAAGAGGGGCAGCTGTGATGCCGCAGGAAGGGGGTCTGTGCTTCGGGGGGGCAGGGGGGTTCAGTTGTTGCCTCTTTTCCACGAGAAGGTCGACTTTCTCAGGAGCTACACCGAAGCATTAAAACGGTTTTGCAGACAAACTCAAATCACCCCCTCCTTCAAACGTAGCTGTGCCCTTCCAGCAGGAGAAGTGAGCGCCTGTGTTTCTGGGCCCCGGCCCCCTCGCTGCCCTGGGCCCCACCCAACCTTTCCATCTGCTGGGCAGCCTCCTCGCCCACCCCCAATGGCTTTGCTTATTGCGCCTCCAGATCTTTGCCAGCTGCCCATGAAGGTCGGCCCCTGTGAAGCGCTCCTCCCCCGCTTCCACTATGACGCCGCCCGCCAGATGTGCACCAGGTTCTACTATGGGGGCTGCCAGGGCAACCTGAACAACTTCGGCACCCGAGAGGGGTGCCTGCTGACCTGCAAAGGCCCAGGTGAGTGAGTTGGGCTGGGGGGGAGCTGGACAATGCTGAGGAGCTGGGGGGCAGGGAGGGGGGCAGGGACCGCTGGCTGAAGCTGCCAGACCAAACATAGGACGCTACCTTGTCCGGAGAAGAGACGTCCCCGGACGGACGGCCCAGGCCTTGCTGGGATCCTGGAAGCAACTGGCTCCAATGTTCCCCCCGCCCAACTCCCCCCGC